TCATCATCATCATCATCATCATCACCATCATCATTATCATCATCATCACTATCATCATCATTATCATATCATCACTATCATCATCATCATCATCATCATCACCATCATCATTATCATCATCATCACTATCATCATCATTATCATATCATCACTATCATCATCATCATCATCATCATCACCATCATCATTATCATCATCATCACTATCATCATCATTATCATATCATCACTATCATCATCATCATCATCATCATCACCATCATCATTATCATCATCATCACTATCATCATCATTATCATATCATCACTATCATCATCATCATCATCATCATCACCATCATCATTATCATCATCATCACTATCATCATCATTATCATATCATCACTATCATCATCATCATCATCATCATCACCATCATCATTATCATCATCATCACTATCATCATCATTATCATATCATCACTATCATCATCATCATCATCATCATCACCATCATCATTATCATCATCATCACTATCATCATCATTATCATATCATCACTATCATCATCATCATCATCATCATCACCATCATCATTATCATCATCATCACTATCATCATCATTATCATATCATCACTATCATCATCATCATCATCATCATCACCATCATCATTATCATCATCATCACTATCATCATCATTATCATATCATCACTATCATCATCATCATCATCATCATCACCATCATCATTATCATCATCATCACTATCATCATCATTATCATATCATCACTATCATCATCATCATCATCGTCATCATCATCATCATCATTATCATCATCATATCATCACTATCATCATCATCATCATCATCACCATCATCACTATCATATCATTACTATCATCATCATCATCATTATCATCACATCATCATCATCACCATCATCACTATCATATCATCACTATCATCATCGTCATCGTCATCATCATCATCATCATCATCATCACATCATCATCATCACCATCATCATTATCATATCATCACTATCATCATCATCAGCGTCATCATCGTCATCATCGTCATCATCATCACTATCATATCATCACTATCATCATCATCATCATCATCATTATCATATCATCACTATCATCATCATCATCATCATCATTATCATATCACTATCATCATCATCATCATCATCACCATCATCATTATCATCATCATCACTATCATCATCATCATTATCATATCATCACTATCATCATCATCATCATCATTATCATCATCATATCATCACTATCATCATCATCATCATCATCATTATCATATCATCACTATCATCATCATCATCGTCATCATCATTATCATATCATCACTATCATCATCATCATCATCATCAACTTTAAAGTTCACCGATGTTCTAATTTTTACCGAAGGTGATTTCCGTTGGAGTAAAGGAGATGCTACTCGAATATCATTCTTTCATTCTGGAGACAGGTACAGTTTTACTACGTAATGCCTCCAAGTACAACGCAGTATTAAATCATCTGCTATTGTTTACTACAGTTATATGCGCAAAAAATCTCACAACTTGTCAACAGGATGTGTTTGCAACAGGCCTGTAGTTTAGCTTGTCAACAAATTGTAACAATGTTGTTAGTTTGCCAAATTGTTACAAGATTGCTCCCAACTTGTTAGTGAGTTACTGAATTGCAGGACCGGGACGATAACAAGTTGTTGGAACAACTTGTAATAAGTCTATTAAGCTCAAGAACCTTGTACTGTAGCAAGTTGTCAACAAGCCGTTGACAGCTCGTCAGCAAGCTGGGAACAAGCAGTGCGAACACATCCTGTTTACATATTATTGGAACAGCATTGCTACAAGTCTGCTGCACTATTGGTCCAGGCCTGCAAATTATTATTTCACTTGGAGGGACAAATGTCTGGAAAAGCCAAAAACATTTTTCAATTTTTTCTGGGCAATGGACAAAGTAAAAATGTTCATATTTTGTTTTGAAAATTAGCAGGATTGTATGTATTTTTTGCCTGGTCATGTTTAAGTCAGCAGTGCGATTCATCTAAAACTTATATCTACCAGTCCTAATGCATCAGTAAGTTATGGCTCAACTAGGTTTAATTTCTAGCTGCCATGTATACGAAGGTGATGTAGATTTAGAATTAAATCTTACGGCTTAATGCAGAAAGAAATAGTGGAGAAGTGCTGTCTATGTATATTGCTTTCTTGTTGGTTTTATTAATAAAAAATGTGTTAAAAAACAATTTTTTGAATTTGAAGATTTGACCAGCCTAAAGGCAGATTTCCAGTCCTCGCACGAAGCTCCTCGCAGCTCGCTACGAGTGCTTGCATCTAATTAAAATGAACGGTTTAGCATTGTGATTGGATGAAAGTACTCCTGCATCACTCGCAGCGGGCTGCGAGGAGCTTCGTGCGAGGACTGGAAATCCGCCTTAAGTCGGTCGGTCACATGTCGGGTTATAAAAAAGCTTTGATCGGACAAAAGGTAAAATTTGGCCGGATAATTCCAATGGCTGCTGACCGGCAATAATTTGCAGGTCTCAGGTTTGTTACAACTTGTGTGTTCTTACGTGTGTGTGAAGGGAAAAAACACGGAAAAATACTTTCCTATTTTTTTATTTAGCATAAGAGATATAAGCAGTATTTATGTCGACACGACGTTTTATCTACCTCAAATGAAACACATTCCGAGCAGAGTGAGTACATCGCGTTTTATATAATAACGTTAAGAATTCAAGCGCTTTCATTGGTCGAGCGCCATGATCTGTTAGAGGACAGGTGCACGGAATTACGTCGCAATTAAAGGTAGCCAATAGCATTCCCTTATTTGTATAGATCATATATTCGTGATATTTGTAAAATTTCGACTTTTTCAAATTTCCAAATGCAAATTGGGTGGATAAAAAGTAAGCTACTCACCTGTTTAATTCGGGGTTTTTCTTTTTATTATATAATATTTAGGTGTAAAATTTAGGTGTTAAATTTAGGTGTAAAATTTAGGTGTAAAATTTAGATGGAACATTTAGGTGGAACATTTAGGTGGAACATTTAGGTGGAACATTTAGGTGGAAAATTTAGGTGGAAAATTTAGGTGGAACATTTAGGTGGAACATTTAGGTGTAACATTTAGGTGGAAAATTTAGGTGGAAAATTTAGGTGGAAAATTTAAGTGGAAAATTTAGGTGGAATATTCAGGTGGAACATTTAGGTGGAAAATTTAGGTGGAAAATTTAAGTGGAAAATTTAGGTGGAATATTCAGGGGTCAGTTGTTCAAAGGTGGTTTGGCGCTAACCCTGGGTTGAAATTTAAGCTGCTGTTTTAGTTTATGTATTTCTGCACGTCTGTTTATTTCCAAACGTCAGAGAAGTGAACTCCTACCGATCCAGACAAGATATCTCAAGAAATATTTCCAAATTTATAGAAATGCGGTGAGGAAGTTTGGTTTGAGTTTTACATTAACCTAGCGTTAAGCTAACCCAAAAATACTATTAAAAAATTAAAAAAAAACGTGTAAGAATTTAAAAAAGAAACGCTCTCCCGCCTCTGAAAATTTGTGAGAGTGTGACGCTAACCAAGTTTTTTTTTTATTTGGCCTTATATTAAATTTTAATTTTTAGGAGTCGACCAAGAAGGCAGTTGTGGAACTTATAAAACGGCGAGTGAAATAAAATGTTCTAACTTTCACGTTTCCTTTCAAGAGAAGCCAGAGATTATTCATATTTGATTTCTTTGACATTGTAGTTGGTTATCAAAAGGTTGCAATTACTACGTGAGTTTGCTGTGTAAAGGAATGTACGGTTATGAATATTTACTGAAGGAAGTTGCCATGGCTTTGAATACCAAGGTATAAATGCAGTTCATGTGATTCATATTTTGTATATGTAAGCTACTAACAAAATAGGGCCACTTATACGAGACAAAATAAGTCGCGACTTAAATAAGACGCGAGTTTGTCGTATAAATGGTACAAAATTCTTATGCAAGACGCGACTTAAATAAGAACAGGATTTTTAGCTGTTCTTATTTAAGTCGCGTCTTAAATAAGACATTTTGGATAAAAAGTCTAACTACACATGCCCGAAACTTGAAACAACGTAAAATTGTTAGCCTTGCATATTAAAGCAAAAACAATTATCAAAACAACATAGCTATAGCAAGTAAATAAGACTAGAGCCGTAGAGAACCATTTATACGATAACTCCGCTTATATAAGACGCGTCTTATGTAAGTCGCGACTTATTTTGTTCCGTATAAATGGCCCTAATGAGTCAAAACATTAGATGACTGGATGGCATGGACAACAGTGGGATTTTCAAAACAATGAAAAGACAATGGAACATTCTGATCACTGGATCATGACTGGATGACATGGAGAACAGTGGGATTTTTAAAACAGTGAAAAGACAATGGAACATTCTGATCACTGAATCATGACTGAATAGCATGGAGAACTGTGGGATTTTCAAAACGATGAAAAGATAATATTACATTCAAACCACTGGGGTCTGAGTCACGCAAATCTTTTGTGACCAAATCTGTGTGACCGCAAGTGTAGTTTTCATATTCGTTAGATTCATGTGAGTTCAGAAAGGCTGTCGTTATACAAGAATCTACCAGACATGACAAAACATTTCACGACCAAGGCTGAAAACACAAGAATCCATTCTTGCAACTGGGAGGTTTGTTATAATTTCAGCTTATTCTCATGTAAAAAGATTAAAAGAATACTTCTACTGTACTCTGACTCAACCAAACTTCTCCTGTAGTAACACTCGTCTAGGTCAATAAGAGATAACCCTTACTGGACCTCTAGAGAAAACAGTTTAGAACTGATAGAGTTTTCCAGAGTATTGATAAAGATAGTTTTGAAAATCTTTGACTGTAGCATGAAAGAAACATCAACTCAAAGCTGCCATGTGGATTTTCACTTCCTGCTCCTGAGAAGGTGAATGTGATAAAGATAAAAGCTACCAGTATGTGGTTTGCTCGTCGAACTGAACCTTTACCGAGTGACTGTGTATTGTAAGTGAACCTTACCATACTCTATTATACCATGTTGCCACACCATACCACACAGTACCATATAAAACCATAACACACCATACCACATAATATCACATATATCACACCATATCATACCACAGTGTACAGACCTTGCCATACCATACCATCCATACCATACCATACCATATCATACCATACCATACCATACTATACCATATCATATCATATACCATATCATATCATACCATACCATACCATAACATAACACACTATATACCATACCACACCATACCATACCATCCATACCACACCATACCATACCATACCATACCATCATACCACACCATACTACACCATACCATACCATACCATACCATACCACACCATACCATACCATACCACACCATACCATATCATATACCATACCATATCATATCATACCATACCACACCACACCACACCATACCATACCATACCATATCATATCATCATATCATATCATATATCATATCATATAATATCATACCATATCATACAATATCATGTCATATCATACCGTACCATACCATATCATATATCATATCATATCATATCATGCTATACCATAACACACCATATACCATACCAGACCATACCATACCATACCATATCATATCATACTATACCATAACACACCATATACCATACCACACCACACTACACCATACCATACCATATCATATACCATACTATAACATATATCACACCATATCATACCATATCATACCACACTATACAATACCTTGCCATACCAAACCATCCATACTAATCCATACCATACCATATTATATCATCGGTATGGTATGGTATGATATAGTATGGTATGATATAGTATGGTATGATATAGTATAGTATGATATAGTATAGTATGGTATGGTATGGTATGGTATGATATAGTATGGTATGATATAGTATAGTATGATATAGTATAGTATGGTATGGTATGGTATGGTATGATATGGTATGGTATGATATAGTATAGTATGGTATGGTATGGTATGGTATGGTATGGTATGATATAGTATGGTATGATATAGTATAGTATGATATAGTATAGTATGGTATGGTATGGTATGGTATGATATAGTATAGTATGATATAGTATAGTATGGTATGGTATGGTATGGTATGATATAGTATGGTATGATATAGTATAGTATGGTATGGTATGGTATGGTATGGTAAGGTATGGATGGTATGGTATGGTATGGTATGATATAGTATGGTATGATATAGTATAGTATGGTATGGTATGGTATGGTATGGTAAGGTATGGATGGTATGGTTTGGTATGGCAAGGTATTGTATAGTGTGGTATGACATGATGTGATATGATATTGTATAAATGATATATAAATACCATACCATACCATATTACACCATACCATATCATGTCTTTACCATACCATATCATGTCTTTACCATACCATACCATACCATACCATACCATACCATACTATACCATACCATACCATACCGCACCGCACCATACAATGCCTTACTTAAACTTATCACATTTCATGTAATTTGTTCTCTAGTCAAGTGAGCAAAGACTTCTATCGTGTGATTCACTCTATGCACGCATCAATGGAAGAGGTACACATTTTTATATTAAATATTTATACATAAATTTCTCAGACTCATTAATAATTCATGAACGAACACAAATTCATTGCTGTCGTCATGCATTAGTTTTGAGCGCGTGTTACGTAACATACAAAAGATTCTCCTCTTATTTTGGCTGTTACTGAAATTTTCGACAAATGTTCATTGCCTCTTTTCTCAAAGCTTTATTTCGCCAGAAGAACACGAGAGAATTTAGCGAATGCGTTGCAAGAATTAGCGTCTTACTCCAGAGTCCAGCCAATAGCGTGAACGCATTATTCATATGAACAGACTTTACCACCACGTACGGCGTGTAACAAACTAGACTACATATCACAACAATTGCACACGATTTGGCGAGTCTTACATTCCGAAACGCTTTCGCTTGAGAACTGTTTGCAAACGATTCTCGCGTACTCTTTCTACACTGATGAAAAATTGAGAAATAGAAATACATTGTAGCTACAAGTACGACCGACATTGCAAAGCTTGGCATGGGCCGAACTTTTTCACCAAAAATAGGATAAGAGAATGACACCAAAAATGAGACGAGCCATAGAGCGATTGCGAGTCCCAGAAGTCTGACTTTCGTCACTTTAGTTCGATGAAAAAATGGGTAGACTATGCTCGTGAATCTTTCAATGTTTAATGCGAACAGAGTCATAAACGATAAACTACCAGTGGCAAAGGACAGTGCTTCATGTAACACAAATAAAGTACAACTTGGATTTCCATTTAAGGTTATAATAAGTACCAGAACATAAGTTGAGTTCGCAAACACACCGACCAGTAAATCGTTGATCGATAACAACATTATCAGAAAGTACGAAGTCTTGTTTTTTAGTTGCGACGATTTTAAATACGCGAGAATTGTTACTGTGTTCAAAAATATTGTTGAATTTGTGATGAAAATGTTGCACGCACACCCGATAACATAATTCATGTAATATATTTGAGATGGAAAGCCAGTTACCATGAACATTTCAGCTTTGTAAAGCGAGCAGCGTTTCCAAAATTTGCCGTTGGTAAAAGTGTCATTGAAATTTGACATCTTTGAAATGAACCTTGCCAAAGTTGATTTATTGTATTAAAGACGTTTTACCTTAAATAGTTAATACTAGTTTATGTAAATGATATTAATATAATGGGGGGAGGGGGGAGTAATTAATGTTTTTTGATAGTGTTTGTGTTATAGTCTGAGAAAAAGCCATCTGGTCGAATTCAGTTGGATACCTCAGGAGTCCACATAATAATTGTATCTTTATGAGTCTAAGCATTTGCATATTCTAGGCTGGCTTAATGCAACTAGAACTGCAGCATATATTTAGGGCTACTAGGAGAGAATACCATAGGAGAGACTTAACTTTACTTGCATGAGTTCTGTACAACATTAGATCATTTTACAGTAGTCCACATTGAAGAACATGTACTACCTCTGTATCACTGTATGATCCAAACATGCTTAACTCAGCAGTGAGTTCTGTACAACATTAGATCATTTTAAGGTAGCTCACATTCAAGAACATGTACTACCTCTGCATGATCTAACCATGCTTAAGTCAGCAGTGAGTTCTGTACAACATCAGATTCAGATCACTTTAAGGCAGCCCACATTCAAGAACATGTACTACCTCTGCATGAACAAACCATGCTTAACTCAGCAGTGAATTCTGTACAACATCAAATCATTCTAAGGTAGCCGACATTTTGTTTAAAATTTAATTTAATTTAATTTAACTTAATGTTTTGTATTTAAAATTTAATTTGTATTTGAAAGTGACATATGGGGAGATAATAACACTATACTATCACTTAAAATCCAATTAAAACTTCAACAATACAAACGATATATATATATATATATAAATATAAATAAGATCAAGGTCAAACATGCGACAAGCCAGTGTTTAATTAAGGCAGTAATTTCAAACAGTTCTCAAACTATGCCGGCTGGTAAAAAGTAATATAACATATATATGCAAAATAGCGGACTCTGAAGTCGATACTTAGAACATCAGTTTGTAGTTGTACATTGTATGATTTTTACAATTAGATGATTTTTAAAATATTAAAGTTAGGTGCTTGACAAGAGTTGAAGAGACAAGACATATATGTCTTTCAAAAGCGCAAGATTTTTCTGTTGGTTTACTCGTTGATGTTTCGAAAAAGTTTTTTTGCTTCCTTTCTTAAAATTGGATTTTTCCAAAAGAAGACAAGGGAATTCAATGAAGAAGCTCTCAATGAAAGAGTAATACTCCACAATGCTAATAACGTCAAAATATTACTTGTAGGTAGAGAAGAAGTGAAAGCAAACGGGACGTTACATGCAAAAACCATGGCAACAACAATAGCACACGACTTAGTCATTTTCATATTTTGTAATTTCTCTTTTTGATTCGTCCGTCGTGCTGGTACCCGCGCCTCCGTAACACGTCCCTCTGCTTCCCGCGTTTCCGGTACCCGCAGCCGCCTTCGGGTTGCGATGCATATAGAGACATAAATATACAGAGTCGAGAAAGCGATGAAAACAAGTACGAGACTAATTATTTTATTCATAATTCTACCAAGAACCAAGTAAGATAAGCGTATGGTTATAACGAGGAGCCAAAACCCCACGACCATTTCAGTAATCTTGATTTGGTGACTTTCGTACGGTGATACAGCGGATGCAAGATGGATAAATAGCGTTCAATATTTAGCCCAAAAAGCGTCATTATACTCAATGCGGCCGGGTAGAAACTTGCGAATTCAAATAAAATATACATTTTGCATCTTGGATATCCGATTATAATCGTAATGAGAATTAAGACGAAGCTCGAATTTCCAAACAAACCGACGAATAGATCATTAACAGACAACAACATTATTAAGAAATACGTCTTCTTGCTTTTAAGCTCTGCTGATCTTGCGTAAGCCAAGATTGTCACCGAATTCAGAAATATTGTTATTACTGTCAAGAGGATATTAAATATCAGTCCAATTATGAAGTTTATTTAATATACATTAGATGGAAATCCAGTAATCATGATAATTTCATGCGTGAAAAAATAGCATATTTCCCAAAATGTTTCGCCATCAGCGCCGTTGTGAGTTGTGTTTTCCATTTTGAAAAAGAAAAAATGCTTTTAATTACATCTGCAGGACACATTGACGACAAGCCGGTCAATCAGTTTGAAATTTAATTTTAGAAGTCGTTATGAGTTATTTGTAACTTGTCATATGAGATATTTTAATTGAAACGCGTCATGATAATATATGTTTTAAATTGGTTTTTGATTGTTTTAATATATATATATTTCGAACTAATTCATCAGCGTCTTAGCCAGTAGGGAAAATATTGGCACTTAACGAAATTGGGAAATTTTGTTAACTCGCAATATTCAAATCTGAGCCCTCCTGTTAAGGTGACATGACACAATTTTTTTATTTTCTCAACTTTTGATTGACTTTTTATCGCTAAACAAATTACATCCCACTCTGCATGCATAATGAGTTATCATATTTATCTTCTCTGCAATGTCTACCACCCCACATCTTGTAATCTCTTCATTCCGTAATATCTCTGTGCAGCTCTCCTTCATCTCTTCTTATTACGTCTCCATATACCATCTCAACCTTGTTTCCCTCACCTTCTCTGCAATGTCTACCACTCCACATGTTCTGATCTCTTCATTCCATAATGTCTCTGACCAGATCTCCTTCATCTCTTCTTATTACGTGTCCATACCATCTCAACCTTGCTTCCCTCGCCTTCTCTGCAATGTCTACCACCCCACATCTTCTTCTGATCTCTTCATTCCATAATGTCTCTGACCAGCTCTCCTTCATCTCTTCTTATTACGTGTCCATACCATGTCAACCTTGCTTCCCTCACCTTCTCTGTAATGTCTACCTCTCCATATCTTCTTCTGATCTCTTCATTCCATAATGTCTCTGACCAGATCTCCTTCTCTTCTTATTACGTGTCCATACCATCTCAATCTTGCTTTCCTCACCTTCTCTGCAATGTCTACCACCCACGTCTTCTTGTGATCTCTTCATTCCATAATGTCTCTGACCAGCTCTCCTTTATCTCTTGTATTTTAAGTGCTTAATTGTCTAAATTTCCTTTTTTTAATAACTGCAGTATATTATGTCAACAAATTTACTTATTTTTTCGAAAGATTTTCTTGACTTCATTTCTAAATACTGGATTGCTTAAAAAGAACACAACATTGTTCACGGAGGAAGCGGCTAGGGCGAATGTAACGCTCCACATTGCAAAAACCAACGTCTGAAAATCCTCTTGCTGTTGCGACCTAACCAGAGCAAACGGCAAATAACAAATCACAGTACATATCACAACAATAGCACACGACTTGGCCAGGTTCGTATTCTGATTATTTTGACTCTGCTGTGTACGATTCCGCCGTATTTCCCCAGGCGAAACGCGGGCCGTTCTTCTGGCCGTTATGAATATTAAAACGTATATATAGCAAGTAGCCAAGATTATGGAATACATTATAAAACTGGTTAGCTTTGTAGTAACTTCACCCAAAGTTGGATAAGCAACAGTTAGCCCAATTGATACTAACCAGAGTATCACAGCGCAACGCAATAATCTGGATTTGTTCACCTTCGTTCTGTAATATATCGGATAGACAATACTGAGATAGCGTTCAACGTTCAGCGTAAATAGAGACATAAACGATATCGCGGCTGTTGGGAACGCCAGCAAATCCACTAAAATGTACCGGACGCATTTCGAATTACCGTTTAAAGTCAACGCCAACGTTAGGGCGTGGTTCGCATTTCCAAAAATTCCTACAAGAAGATCGTTCACAGAAAGCAACATTATGAGAAAATACGAACTCTTTCGTCGGAGCTGCGGTGATTTCCAATAAGCGATGACTGTCAAACTGTTTAGAAATATCGCTGAAATTGTCAGGATTATGTTCAATGCACACCCGATTGCATAATTTACATAATATGCTCGGGAAGGAAACACAACGATGATCCTCAAATGGACTTCGTAGAAGGAACAGAGTTTGCTGTTGTTCATAAAATTGGCGTCCTCCATTTTTTTCTGGATGTTGAATGACGCACGGTACAAGATCATACGCATCTTGCCAATTAAATAACGAATAAGCCTATCTAGAATATATATTTAATAAAAATATTAAAGGAAATTTGAATACAAACATTGCTTTGATGAAGATTGGAGTTTATTATACGGATATTCTGG